CAGTTTCTGGAGATAAATGAGTGCAGAATTTGACAGGAGAGTTTTCAAGTGAGATTTTTGGTAGCATTCATCACTGACATTAGAGCAAATGACAGAAGTTCTCATTTCAGCACTGACTCCCAAAGCCTTACATCTGGATCTTTATAGAATGCACTTGAAAATCTCCTCTCTAACTACCATCATTGCCATGGTGTACCTCAGATAAATAGCAATAATATTAAACATAACAGAAGGACTATGAAATTCAGAGACACTTATTTTTCACTTAGAAGCTGCTGGAATTAGCCCAAGAAGTAAGATGAAAATTTCCTGTCTTCTGCTGTCACCTACCTGGAGCCTTCAAGGGACAGGGCAAAACTCCAAATGGATGTACATTTTTCTGTATTGTGGAGTTTGTCCAGGAGGCTTGTGGGTGGCTGTAAAGCTTGATTTGAATTCCATGGTTACAACTAAAGCATCTCAAAAGAGTAAACTGTTTCTCTGGTTCTCTTATCTTGCTCAGCTGTATGGATGGAAATGAAACAAAAAAACCTCTCAAAACCAAATCACTCTTTTCCCAGATGGGCAAAAACAATCTGCAGAGGAGGTGGCCCAAAATTTGCCTGAAAAGATCAGTTTTACCCTGGAACCCATCAACATACATGTACTTTCTGCTTATAAGGAAACCTAGTCCAGCAGATGGCACTTCCTTCCATCCTCAGCAAAGTCTCAAGTCTGAGACATCTGGCTGTGAAGCAAAAGGAAGTTCCTCTTAAATAATCCTAGGTGGGAAGGAAATGCATCCAGAATTAGGGTCCAAAGCCCTTTCTGCTGGGAAGCTGCAGAGAGATGAGCAGTGCTAGGGAAGCTGCAGTACTGCCTGGCAGAGGTTGATTGGAGCACTTTCTCCAATTTCCACCTGCTTTGGCTTGGAGGGGTGACCAAGTGGTCCATCTCCTTGTCTGACTCCAGTCTGATCTAATGAGGTTTGTTCTGCCTGGGCCTTGAAGCAAAAGAGACTGGAGCATCTCTTCTGCTAATTACTCTTTTAATAGCATGTTCACTACCTACACTATCCATTTCTGGAGGCGGGTCAAAATGTTAATTACTCTTGGCTAAGAGCTCCAGCATCTGACCAATCTCTTACCTTTATTCATCCGCACATAGCAGTTGTAATCAAGGGACTGCTCATTCCAGCTGCTGGCATTAAATGCTGATGGGTCTGAGGCAGCTGGGTCTAATGTGAAAGATTTATGCATCAGTCTGTTTATTCTCAAAGAAGAAAAGTTTTATGGAAATTTATCAACTTTGACTAAGTTTTTCATAAAGCACATAAGCTAAATGGATCTGAAAACTGACTTTTTTCTTTTTAATTGAATCAGACTGAATGGAAAAATATAAACAAAAAATATACAAAATCTGCCTCCTTTCCCTCCAATTAGAAAAGTTTAAGGCTCAAGAACTTCTGTGAAAAGGATCTGTCACCCCGAAGTCACATGCCCTGTGCACACATACAGCATGGGAGTAAGCAGGTGATGCTCTGGTGTACAGGACTTTGCTCCAGCAGTGTCCAGAGGAGGTTGATTTCATTTAATGCAGAGCAATGAAAGTTTGGGGAAAAGCAGCTGAGTCTGGCTGGCTTCAAAGCACCTGTTAAAAGAAACCTTGATAAGTGTTGCATCTAAACATGCTGAATTAAATTGCTAAATGGATATCAGAATTTTTCTGTACTTTTTCGTGCAGAAACTTGATATAGAGCTTGTATTTTGCTTGGGAAAAGACAGTTTTTCTACTCGTGTAATGTGATCAGAGGAAAAAGAACAGAATTAACTTTTGGCTCCAGAACCTTTAAAAAAGGAAACTATTTCTTCAGATAGCAGCAAATTTCCTTTAATTACTGGAACTCTTTGGTGTGTTTCTAATAAGTCATTAAAATTATATGTAGTTTTAAATTTTTTTTAAAGTATAAATTCAGTAAAGACCTAATTGTGATTAGCAATTCTTGCCTACATCCAGACAGAATAATTTATGCCTGCTCAGCAAGTTTCCTGGGGATACAAAGCTGGGAGGAGTGGCCGAGACCCCAGAGGGCTGTGCAGCCCTGCAGAAGGACCTTGACAGGCTGGGGAGGAACCATGGGAAGTTCAGCTGAAGGCAACGGCAGGGTCCTCACCTGGGGAAGAATGACCCCACCCACCAGCACAGGCTGAAGGCTGACTTGTTGGAAAGCAGCTCATGGGAGAATGATGTGGGGATCCTGGTGGACAACAAGGTGTTCAGGAACCAGCAGTGTGTCCTTGTGACCAAGCAGGTCAACGGCTGCCCGCCTCCCTCCCTCATTCCTCACAAGTCCTCTAGGCTGACTGCAGAAGTATTTGAGAATTTTGAAGATTTTGAATGTCCTTTGAATCACCCTTGAAACCAGCCTGGCCCTTTTGCCAGGAATCAGCCAAGGCTTGCTATGGCTGAGATCTTGTTTAGGCATGAGCAATGCTTGGTGGTCACCCCAACCCAGGGACAAGCACTGCAGCTCAAAGGAAAAGGAGAGCGACTGCAGCTGCACAAATTCCGGTGACACGCATGGGGGCTACTTCAGTCCCCACAACAGGCACTGCAGCCACTCAGTGTCCAGCCACAGGCACTGCAGCCACTTCTGTCCCTGCACCACGCCCTGCATTTACTGGGGAGCCACTCAAAGTGCAGCTCCTTCCCTCCCTGCAATAAGCAGTGCAGCTACTCCAGTTCCAGTGGCAAGCACTGGGGCTACTCAGATCCCAGTCACTGATACGACAGACACTCAGACTTCAACGCTGCAGATGTGCAGATGAACCAATAACTATTTATTACGAGCCATTCCACCATCTTCTTCCTTTTTTCTTTTGTCTTGACAGCCGGTCCTGAAGAGTTTCCAAAGCAGAGGTTGTCTGGCGGATGAGCAAGCAGTGTGTTTCTGTGAGGAAGAGAATTGAAGTGAATTGAAAAGGCACCTTTGGAGAAATTGTCTTGGGCTGGAAGGTCTCCACAGTGCCCTTTCAAGAGCTGGAGAGGGCACAGCCCTCCTTAGCAGATTTCTCCCCGTACTTGGCAAATTGCAGTCAATTGGCCAATGAACCTTCTTTTAAAGAAGTCTCCTTAGCAGAACAAGAAGAACAAAAAAATGGCCTTCTCCCATTGTGCACTCATTTGCTGCTGCTGTGGGCAAGAAGGCAGCCAGACCTACATGTCCTTGACAAGCTTGGTCTGGGTTCGTGCAGGGTTTGGCATCAGGAGAGGGTTTCTGCCACCCCTTGTGGGTTTCTGTAGGGTTATAGAATTGTGCAGGGAGGACAAGATCTTCAAGATCACTGAGTCGAACAAAACACTGGCATGTCCACCAGTGAACTCTGTCCCTAAGGGCCATTCAGCATT